GGACCCGTAGCTGAGCGGATGGAACTTTTTGATTGTATCGGCGCTCAAAAAGATTTTCATTGCCGTGAAAACCCAACCCATCACCAAGGGAACGTTGACAAAGAACTTCTCCTTCAAAAGCTCAGGATAAGCCATGCTGAATGTTTGGATGGTCTCTTTGGATGCAGCACGGATACTGGGGTCCATTCGTAGGAAGCTGACATTGAGATAGTCGTGGACTTGGATCATACGATATGGATCAGGGCCGTTTTCAGGTATCTTCTCCGTTGCTGAGGCAAGATCTAATTCTTTAATGGATAATTCCATAAGTGCTGCTCTCCATTTAAGGAATCTAAGTCATGAAATCAGTACTACATCGACCCACATCTAATGCGTTACTCACTCAGGAACGTCACTGAACGTCTTCTTAACATTTTTGACTGCCCCATAGATGTTCCAAGTGATAACTTCTTTGCCGCCGTCGCTGGTAGTATAAGACGTTACATATCCCAGATTACCGAACTTGACCTTGTCGAACTCGGTACCTTCCAGGAGCTTCTGTGGTTGCATGGTCTTTCGCCATTTCAAAGCCTCAATCAATTGAGCCTTGGCTTTAGGAACGTCTTTTGTGTTTGCTCGCAAGAATTTCTCGAGAACTATACTTGTTTGAACATGAGTTTCCGATGGATCGAGTACAATGCCCCACATCTCATTGTATTCAGCTGCCTCGAGGATTGCCGGCAATTCTGAATAGAACTTTGACAATGGCGAGCCATCATGTGTCTTGGTAGTCTTGTCGAATGAGACTGAGTGTTGAGAGGTTGAAGCTGCTTTCTCCACATCCGCATCTTTGGTAGCTTCTAGTTTAGCGGCTGCTTCCGCGTCGGCTTCTTTGACAGATTCTAGCTTGACGGCTGCTTCCTGGGGTTGTTCCGTAGTGGGCTCTGCGGCTACTGATTCAGTTGTTGATGGCTCTGCGATTGTAGGTTTTGGTTCTTCGGGCGTGATTTGTGGAATTGGAGTTGAGTCATCGATCTTGATTGGTGATGATTCCGTTGTTATGGGCTTTTGATCTTGCTCGATTACGGATTTTGGTTCCTCCACAGTTGTAGATTTTGGTTCCACCACTTCCTCTGGGATATCGGCCTTTGCCTGGTTGTTGTTGGGTTCCGCACTCATCTTCTTCGTGTTCGTTGTTCGACAATGAATTGTTTGTACAGATCAGAAAATGACTCCTTTACAAGCTCAGAGCTGCAAATTTATTTCTGTTTGATTTTATTAATCTTGGGCAGGGGAGGATTGATTGACATAGTAATTTAAAATATTTTGATGAACCCAATTCTACTTTCCCTCCCCTCCCCTCTCTCCTCTAATTATTTTATTTTGTAACTCCCGACTCACCGACGCTAAACGGCCCAGCCAAGAGCCAAGCACCGATTAACTGGCCTCGAGAGTTGATGCTGACCAAAATCAATTGTATCAAACGCTCTCGTCAAACGCTCTCGAAGCCTCGAGGGTTAAAATCCCAAGCCAGCCCAGCCAGCCCAGCCAGCCCAGCCTTCTCTTCTTCTTTTGTCTCCCAAGCACGTGTACCTAGGAAGTGGATGAGTAAGTGAGGCTGAGCTTGGATACATGGAAAAGAAACAACCACAACTCAATTTGCCCAAGACTACAAGAGATACTCGGTAACAAGTTACAACTTTGCATACGACTTGGTCCACCCACCAACCTCTTCATTAATTTCTTTTTTTTCTTCAATTCAAGTTGTCCAACAAATGATGACGCTTGATTTGAAGGTCCATGTGGAATTTTGCTATACAGTGTATCATCGTCTTTCTAGAACTAATCGTATCCTTGTTTATAGGTCCACCGGTCCCTGATATATATCCAAATGTACAAACGATAATGAGGTGGCTGGAAATGTATATACATACATACTTATCTCCTGCAGCCGCATATATCCATATACCCACACGAGTAGGTGCATGAAACGGTTGATTTCCATATTCACTTCCACGTAAGGGTACTCACCGATACATTTGTCGCATCTTTCTTTGGAAATATTCTGGACACAGGTATCTGGAGCTCTTCTCGACAATCGAACTTCGGCCTTCAAGAAGATCGCTGATCTCGGCCGTTGTACGACATTCAGTTGACTTTCAGCGACTTGCCTTCTCGTCTTCAATATCTCCTACTTGAAGATGTTTCCCAAACTTCTTCTCACCGCTGCAACGGCATTGTTGTCTGCTAAATCAACCTTTGCTCAGACTTACAGTTCTTGTAACCCATTATTCACAAGTCAGTGGCTTGCTTCGTTTCCTTATCTTGTTGAAGTTTTGCTAACCTCACACTAGCTGGATGTCCTGCGAATACTGCCCTGGGAAAATCTATCGATGTCGACTTCACTTCAGGATCAGTTAATTCCTTTACTGGCTCTGGCGATATCACATACGACTCCAATGGCGCTTCATTCACAGTATCCGAATCAGGCGATGCGCCAACACTCTCTAGCATCTTCTATATCATGTTTGGAAAGGTGCAAATCACAATGAAGGCAGCCCCTGGCGCGGGTATTGTCAGCACATTAGTCTTACAATCCGACGATCTAGATGAGATTGATATGGAATGGCTTGGAGCTGATGATACTGAAGTACAAACCAACTATTTCGGCAAAGGCAAGGTTACAGACTACAATCGCGGAGCTTTCAATCCAGCGGCGAATAACCAAGGCGAATTTATCACCTACACTATTGAGTGGACTTCAGAGCAGGTCGTTTGGTCCGTAGGTTCTACTGTAGTAAGAGTTCTTACACCCGCAACAGCCGATAGCGATCAATACCCACAATCGCCAATGCAAATCAAGTTTGGGGCCTGGTCAGGAGGAGATTCATCGAATGCCGCAGGGACAATTTCTTGGGCGCGTGGTCCAACCGATTACTCCAATGGTCCATTCTCTATGGTCGTTCAGTCAATTGACGTGAGTGATTATTCCACTGGTACTCAATACAAATATGGAGATCAATCTGGAGACTGGACATCAATCGAAGCTATCGGTGGATCGGTAAACGGCAATGAGCCAGCATCAGCTTCATCGATCCAAACTGCTGGCGCTGCTGCTGTTACATCTAGCTCCCCAACTATCCCCGCTGGTATCAACAATGGTAATTCGGCCACTCGAACTGGATATCCTTGGGTTGCTGGAACCCAAACTGTATCGGAGGTAACATGGAGCACTGGGCCAAGCATTCCTTCAGGTTGGGAAATTTCTTCTGAGGGGAAAATTGTCCCTGTAAGTGCTTCACCAATAAGTACGTGTCAATCTATCCCCGATATTTACCTTTTCCACATACTGACTTTATGTTTAGACATCAGCAGGATCAACCCCCTCCTCTTATGTGGACCCTTCACCTTCTTTTTCTTCGCCGCTATCAGGAGATGGCCTTGAAACGATCACGGGCTGGGATTCTAGAGGATTTGCTGTAACAAGCACAATTTTTGTAGGATGCAGTACGGCGAAGAGCTATGATCAGCAAGGATTTCTGGTGACTGGAATAGCGGCATGTACGACTGGGGCTGACCAAGGAGGCCTCGGTACAAATGCTGCTGGTGCTATTGGCGGAAAAGTCAGGAGCACAAATAAAGCCGGAAATGACCATAACGCTTTGCCTACAGTCTTGGGGATAGTGGCGGCTGCCGTCGGGGGGTTGTGGATTTAAGGAAATTCGATGTGCGATATGGGCTAGGCAGGCTGGATTGGAAATAGGAACGGAGTTTAATGTGACATGGAAAATTTATGGGATTGGCCATTCGAAGCTTGAAGAAATGGAGCTTGGAGGGCAAGTTTCCTCGAAGGAAAAAGTGGCTATGCGAATACACGTACAAGGAAATAAGCTAATGATGGATGATGGGCAAGAATTCTAAGATTAATGATAATGATAAAGATACATGATACATGGTTCCGTACATATTTGATTCTACTTTGGAACAAAGTGAGAGAACATGAAATTTCAAACTATAGATCTGGAATAAACTAAGTAGGTAAGCAAGATACTATGATTTCAGGCTATCTGAGGGAGGGCTTGTGCGTTGGGTATCTTGTAACTTGTCTTGAATTAACTAAAGAGACCAGGGGAGTATATTAGGACAGGAGAAAATAATGATGAAAAGGGACAAAGAAAGCATTAAGGGGATTTTGTTTGGTAAGTTTGGCCTAATGTAAGGGAGTTTTAAGTGAGAAGTATTTTACATGAATCTGAAGGAGAATTTCAAGCAAACTTCTTCCTCTTACAGTAACGCATGGAAATAACCGAGGAGATGGGAAGAGAAATGGTGAATAGAATACAGGATTGGAACTTTTTGTCATGTAGGATGGGAGTTGTTGGGGAGGTTTAGGGGAGAGGAAGCGAGGGGTGGAAATAAGCGAGAGGACTTGTGTGGATGGAGAGTTGAGAAGTAGTAAAGGTGTGATGTGAAATGGTTGGAACATGAGTGAGAATGGAAGGGTGAATGATTGTCTGGGGTTTCTAATAGAAATAGGGTATACTTCATGTCTCTTTCGCCGTGTAATAAGAAGCTCCTCTGCAAGTGATGGGATAATACATATTTAACGTGTCTTGCTTGTCATGTGTGAGAATATACACTCTAACATACCCTCAAGGTGTAATTTCTCGATATGTGTTTTCAGCGTGGTCTGGATTGTAATAATAAGTGTATATGGTGTGTATGTGAGTTCCATGCTCCATGTTCCAAGGTTGTACAATCAAGACTCAAGACTAGATATCAGCAGTAGTGAGAGATCGGTCTGTAATTGAGCGAGTTAGTGAGAAGGACGACATATATCATAAGTTGCCGATTTCATTATTCTTTTTGACTTCCTGCCGATATCATGCTGCATCTTTATTTGGATCAGAGGATATACCGGTCCTTGAACACATCACCGGGTTGCTCGGGCGATAGACAGAATCTAAGGGTACAGTGCGGAAAGTATACTTTCTATGCACCCTGTTCCTGTTCTCTCAGTCATGGCAGGATTGTTTAATGCTCTTGTTGTATCAAGGCAGCACAGATTGAATGACGATATTAGTCAATCGCAGAATATCCCATCATCAAGCGGATCCCAATGAAATGGACCAGATGCCCCGTAAGTATGGTGAGAGATTCAGGAAATTATCATAGAGAGCCAGCCTACTTGCTGTCTTTGAATAATGCCCACTCTGAACAAGTTGATCATCATGATAAAACAAGGTGCTCCCTTCAATATTAATTTGGGGCGCCAGCTCTGTTGAAGTTGATAAAGAATTTGTAACTACCGTGCAGTCTTTCCTTTATTGAGAGCCTCGGCGCCATATTTGACTTTTGTGAGAACCTCCTCTACACGCAGTGTTATTCTGTGCAACTCAATAGAAATCCCAACAGACAGGTATGTGAAATAGATGCACCCGCGCTGGACATGTCCAGTGTAACAATCCCAAAATTACTCGAGTCCCCAGCCGTCACATCTGACGGTTGAAGCAAGTGCCCCAGATAATTCAATGGTAACTATGGAGTATCTGCACTGCTACCTCCCGTGAATGATTCAAGCTCGAGTCTCCAACGATTTTGTTGCACATCTAATTCTTGTACGGCTACACTAATACCTAGTGCTTACACCCCACTTTTGTGTGTTGGCCCATCTCGAGACCAGCGGGCGGAACAATGTATCGTGGTACTTTAGCGGCCTTGTGTCAATATATTCTCATTGGATATTGAGTGCGTTACACACGAAACGTTACAGTACATGGGATAGTTACAGATAACGGGCGAACCTCCATGATTTCTTGGGCCCCAGAAGAAGAAGGTGATTAAGCTGTGCCCAAGTGCCAATCACGAAATAAATCCAAGAACATTCAATCTTCATATAAAAATATGTTTCTTAATGCTTAATAATACTCTACTCATTCGAATTTCAAGTATGAATAGGATATCGAAGGGCTTGAGACGGCGGTGCTGTGGTGGAGTTGTCAGACTAGAGGAATTTTATACCAATGATGAAGAAAACAACAAGGCGGGATGAAGATAGAAAGAAGAATGTATGATCAATGCATAGTAAAGAAGATGCGTGACTATTAACTCTTCAACACAGTTTGCACTGTAAATCCAAAACTATTTACTTTCACGGTAAAAGCATTCGTAAAGAGTTCACGAATATCGAAGCATACGACAAAGGATTGGAAACAAGGGTACCAGTTGATAACCAATTCAGGATCACAAGCTTTGAGAGCCCTACTTAGGAACGAACAATTGCATCGGCTGCGTTATATACGAAAAATATATATGCGATGCTAATCTGCTTTTGGGACAACTTCAATGATTCACTGCAACCGTAAATTCGTGAGCAATTCCGAGCAACGAATCTACTTCCTCAAGTGCCCCGAGAAGAATGCCGCGCACTGTTGATATCTGCAGTTCACAAGATCTCATCAGTAAAGATCTTTCATAGGAATCGGAAGATAGAAAGAAGTACGTACCCTCTAACATATTCCTTGACATTGTCTTCATTTTCAACTATCATAGCATGTTAATCAGTAGCTCTAACTTTAGTCACAGGCCAAGAATCAGAAATACTTACAGTTAGCCCTAGCTCCCATCCATCCATGATGCATGGTTGAATAAGTCTCGACGACTCCGTTCCCTGCTTCAAGAACATCTTTGTATTCTTGCACGGCTTTAGCATCCTCGCCATTTGAGGCAAGCACAATATGTGGAATTGTGATTCTCTCGGCATCCTCCTTCGTCAATCGACTAGTAAATATCAGATCAATAGTGTCCCAGTATTCCTAAGAAATCGATAGAAATGCTTACCCTGGATGAACTTGACCGGAAACTGTCCATGGAGTCTCTTTTCGTGAAGTGGCTGCGGCAACCTACTCAGACCTTTAAAATCATGATAATATATTGAGTTATTTGAACGGAAACAACCTACTTTACCACCCCAGCACAACCCCAGACATGCCCAAGCCTTTACGCCGTCCCATTTCTTACCACAATCGGCGACAACTTCCCCAACAAGCTTTTCCCATCTGTCAATCGCATATGCAGACTCCACAAACGCGGCTTTGGCGGCTTTGGCCTCTTCGCTTGGATCTTTGAACCACTCCGCTTGAGCTTTTTTCCCATTGAAGAGATCTGGGACGATGACGACGGTATTCAATGGTTCAAGAGCAGCGGCCAATAAATCGGCACCTTGTAGCGTTTGAGGTGCAGCACCAAATATATCATAGATAATCATAAGGGCGTTTGTGGGTTTAGATGCTCCTAGAATACTTGATTGGGATTTGCGGGTTTTGAATACGAAGAGATGAAATGAGTGAGGCTATTCTGGAGTGATTGCAGTTGAAGACAGAAACCAAGCACAACACAAACTAACAATACAATGAGCAAAGAGCTAGAAAAGAAATTGACCCACCTGAAACATACACAGGTACTCCAGCAATTGTTTCCCATGTACCTTTTGTTTTGTAGTCAACTTTGATCACTGGTGGAATAGTGTTGCAGGCATTCTGTGTAGCCATGTTGAGTGACTTGAGTCTGAACTCTTTGAAGCTTAAGGGTAAAGATATAAGGGAGAAAAGTAGATGATATTCGTGATGAAGGTTGACTACCGAAATGAAGGCTTGGAATGAAGACCTTGAACTGTGATAAGAACATTATCTAGGTAGGTAGGAATGTATCTGTTAAGGTTTATATATTCAATCTTCCAAAGTGGTCGGGGAATGTGAGACGGGATATCGTCGGCGATAACGGGGAATAGTAATGTTAATTGCGAATTCGATGTCACGGGTTCGCTACCACGTGGTTTAGACACTGGCTCACCCTTTTCGGATCGAATCCGATCTGGTTCAAGAAGACGCTTCCCTTATTTTCCCCCCTTTATTTCCTTTTTTGTTTGTTTCCCGTGAAATTATAAGCGAAAGCTTTAAATTCAATAGAGGATTTCCAAGAGCAATGCGGCTTTGCTATGGGGAAAAGCGAGTTTCTACTAAGTTTCTACTCTTTGGAGGTAGGTTTTCCGCATCCGGGGGCCTATCCTTTCATGAATTTACCAATTAAGGGTAGACAATTTGAGGGTGGACAAAGAGCATCAAGTTCATATCTTTGTCGATAATAACATGGTGAATACAATATTGTTTCTAAATCTCTTCCGAAACCTCAACAGCTCCCAACTCACCTTTCCAAATTCTCTCTACTGCCAGTCCTCAAGATGCCTCCTCCGCCAGATGGACGAAAGTTGACCCATGTGCAACGCGTGGCCCATGCTCAGGAAGAATGGCGTAAATGGTTGAGTTTAAGGAAATTAAGACTTAAATTTGTTTCTGAAGAAACCGTCGACGAAGGCGGCTTTGATGTTTACGAGTTTGGCGAAAATTATTTCGCGAAAGAAGCAAAGTTGGACAGACTTTTACTGCTTTCCGAAGATAGTTCACATCGAACGCAGATACAAAATTACGTAGAATCGAGTAACAAAGCAGCCAACTTGTTTACCGACAAAGGCATGCTTCGCAAAGAGGGTAGTTCAAAAGATACTCTGGGGCTTTTGGGAATGCTAGCCGCTGCAAATGTTGGTGACGAGTACATAGACAGATTTGTCGAAGATCTGACGGCTTATGGGAGTGCATGGCTTTATAGCGATGAGTTTGAAGGCCATAAGGCGGATTGGCCTCCGTGGGTAACAGGACAGGACGATGCTTCGTTGGAGCTTCAACGATTTCACAACATGGTGCATGCTCTTTCGAGTGACAGAAACGCGCCATCGCCCTGGAAACATCTCAATGCAATGTTTCGCCTCAACGGATATTTGATGAGAATTCTAAGATTCGTCGATGAGCGAAATGCTCACTTGGGAGGGCGACCAGCATTACCCGATGGCTCAAATATAGCGGACCCAGCGATAAAGGCAGCGTGGGTACTACATAGGGCATGGATAAGATTGCTTCATCACCGATCGTTAAGTTTGGGAGCGCAGGCTCGTGGAATAGATTCACTCAAAAACATCCTCATTATTGGTAGAGCACAACTAGAGCAGGAGACACGTTCCGTCCCTGTTGAGAGTAGAAAGATTTATGAATCGCTTTTAGAATTTGTAACTACATTACAGACTCTGACTACGTTCTTACAAGCACTGGCAAATGAGTTTAGCCAAGACTCTATTCCCAAACCAGGCACCCGAGAACCTTACATTATATCGGATTTTAACATAGATTCCGATCGTGTAAGTGCGGCATGGGCTCAGGTATGTATCGTGGTAATTATCAATTGAAGATGATTGAAACTGACAGGAATTTGAATAGATCACCCACCCTTCAAAGCCCGATCCACAAGGGAGAACTATTAATCCATTTGGACCTATGCTCCTCTGGTCACAATTACTTGATCGTGCTGCCGACTTCGAAGCTAAGAACAATAGGTACTATGTCGAAGATCATTTATACGACAATCGCGTCATTGCAGAAGATGAACACTGGGAGATTACAAAACTTATGTCCAAACCTGACTACGATCCCGATTTCGTGAAAGATCGTCTTCCTGATGTTGCACAGGCAAGGGAGGTTAGAGCATTGACGAAGAAAGTTTCACAAGTCAATGCCCATCGGCGCAATTACCTACTTTTGAGAGACTGGTCCAAGAAACGGCCTTGGTAAGTTACACAAGAGCCTCTTATAGTTCATCTCTTGAGGCAATTGCTAACATCTATAGGAAACAACTGTATTTTGTGTTCGATACCGTTACAACCGATACCTGGCGTGGACTTATTGACGACTTTTACAACACTATTGAACTACTTAAAGTGTTTCCCGTGACACCTGGGAAGGAGCAAGATGCATTGGACTACAGAGCAAGAATAGAAGCAGATCCAGAATCTGAACCAAATCTATTCGGCAATGTTTTCTCCATACACCCACTCCCAAGCCATGACCCCTGTAAGTACGCTGGTGCTTACTTTGGTAATTGCGTATACTGCCTCGAAGACTACGCACCTAGAGAATTGTGGGTGCAATTTTTCTGTAATCATATGGTACATTACGATTGTGGTCGCGACTATGTAAGTACCCTCTTTGACTTTATCATCTCAAAGCAGAACGGTTAGACACTAACCTTGCGCTTCTTTAGTGGGATAATCCTGGAAATCCTGACTTCAGGTGTCCTCTTTGTAGACATACACAGTCGTGGGAACTCCACAAAGTTGCAGGTATCGTTCCAGAGGCTGTAGACCTATGGGACAACGTGGATCTCGTGGATGCTGCAGAAGTATCTAGACACCCTATTGTTCAAATGGAGGGTACACCGGGGGATATTGAGGGATTCAAAGAGCTTTATTGGGAGAGCGAGGCTGCGCATCTGGCTGAAAGTGAGTCGGTAAGTCTTAAGCTTGAAGATCTGAGGCATCAGTGACAGCAGCTAATCTATTGGAAATAGTGGGAGTTTCGTAATCAACATCGTGAGAGGCCTAGAGAGCTTCACCACGAGATGGCGCAAATGAGGAATGCAAGAAGAAAACGTGTTCTGGCTGCAAGAAATGAGAGACTCGAGAGAGAGAAAGAGTTTCCCACATTGGCAGAAGATTAGCTAAGTTCTATGATCTCTGTCTTCTTATCCTGGCCCTATACTTACTCGACGGAGCCAAATTTGGTGTCAAGGAGTATGCGATTTTCTTTTCCTCTTTGATTGGAGCGGTCGATACATTGCCAGAAACTTCGCTGGCTTTGTGTAGTAGTATGTTGCATCTGAAGATCCAGTTTCGTCATGTATCTAATTAGTCAACTGTATATCTGGAACGACGTGCTGGGATTTGTTTTCGTGGGAATATACTTGAGTTATTCTGCTACTTGTTATCATTGTCTCACTGTGCATAATGCAACTCCTTATATTCACCTTTACGTGGTGTATAACTCTACAGTTTCGAAAAGCTTGTCGTGCCTAAAACTTGGGATTCTCTCAAAGACTCTTCGTTTTCGCAACATGATATTGAGATCAGACCCGACTCAAACTTTCCCGTTGACAAGAATGATGAAGACAAGCATTACACCAAAAGCAAAAGTTTTGCTTCACTCATAACCGGTATGACGATCATGGTATTTGCAAGAATTCAAAGATATTGACTTTGAATTTGTTTGGTTGCTTATACTAAATTGACAGAATAGCATGCATTCTTACTATGCGAGTGAATATAACGCTGTTCCTTTACAAATGAATGTTATAATTCCGATGTAACAACCTTCCCCCGCCAAACTTTTCATCTTAACGTGATGTTTATCACTGCTTATCAGATTCCGAACCAACTAGTTTACTAACTTCAAGTTCGTCCTATTCAAAATTAGTATTGTCCCAGCCATATTTGTTCAGCAAATCCTATTTCAACCACATCTCGAAAAGATCAAACTCACCTCGAAATCCCCGGGCCAAATTAAACCTTTCACTCCCCAGCTTTCCCACCCCTGCTCCTTCTTCACGTCCCCTCTAATGAACTCTCTATACTCCGGTGCTCCAGGCCTGACCACATTATCCGCCACGACCACGGCTCCCCTTTTCAGCACACCCGATGCCTCCACAACTTTAAAATCCTGCTCATACAAATCCTCCGCATGATCTAGGAACAAAAAATCGACATTCGTGATTTTCTTCTCCTTAACTAGATTGGCAATCGAGGAAGCGGCCGTGCCTTCAACAACTTCAATAATGTGATCGAGCCCTGCTATCTGAGCGATTTGGCGAGCAATAGCAGCGAAAGTGGGATCGAGTTCGAGGGAATAAATCTTTAGCGCCGCATCACCTATCATATCGTGATTAATCTAGCCGTTTTAAAAACGCGCATGAATCATAAGTTTAAGGAAAAGCCAAACAAACCTCCATGCGCCTTCACCATCGCATCCGCAAAAAGCACAGCACTATATCCCAGATATCCGCCTAGTTCCACTAGCATCTTCGGTTGCTCCCGCATAATGAGATCTCGCAGAATGTCAGCTTTATTGGGACCAACACTGATGAGGAAATCTTCCCGCAGGGAAAATTCGTCGATGGTGGAGAGGACGTCCATGGGATTGGCGGGATTGTGAGATAAGATGTAAGCGAGGAGTTGAGCTTCACGGCCGTCATGAGACTGATGGTTCTTAGTGATAAGTCATGCGTAGAAAGAGAAACTGAGGGCAAGAGTGGAAGATGGGAAGACAGTGGAGGAAAATACTTCAACGCCGGATTCCATTGCTTTGCCAAGGGTAGGCCATTTTTTGACGAATTCTGCGTCCTCTTCCATTGTACTTTTGCAGGGAAGTTTGACAGTGAAATGTGAAATGATGATTGATGCGATCCTCCGTAGCCGATATTGTGTTATATGACGTGAGAATTGTGATCCGAGGCACTTAGCACTACGATACTCAAAAGAAATCGCCCGAATAATAAACTTAAAGTAGAGGGAAAACTAGAGAAGATGGAAACAAAGCAGAATATATATACATAATTTCAAACTAATCACCCCACTTTCACGTCCAGCTGCAACAGTATCTCGTATCTTCGATTCTCAAGCGCCATCTCCTACTGGCTAAATCCGCACACACACCCCCATCACAAATCATTATCTTAGACTTTGCAGTTCCGACGCGCCATTAACAGGCTAGTGCTTATCTATTCACGTAATCGCACGTTATCATAAGAAAAAGAAAACCAAATTCTGGTCCATCGATCAAGAAAAGCGTTGAGTGACTGCACCGAAGAATCCTCCAAAAACACTTGCGAAAACAAGGTCAAAAGAATATCGATATATAATTGTGAGATATGAAAATATTTTAGAAAATTAATTGAAGGAAGTAAGAGTATTTAACAACAAGAAAAGATGAATTAATAGATGAATTGAGTTTTTCTTCTTCAGAAATTGTCGAGGAAGATGGTCGGTAAGAAAAGGGGTTCGCTTGTACAGAAGTGGAACGCGAAAACTTTTTCCACCTCAATTCGCAGAACTTCCAGTTAAATCCGACCCGATGGGTCAGCTGTGACAACATAGTGAAGATCACGAATAATATCCATATTTTGAATGCTCACGACTCCAAAAAAGGATGGTGCTCTTCATTCACCATATTATGATGAAAGTGGCCGTCGAATGGTCAATGGTTCAGGCTTCAGCAAGGTAATCTTTTTCTTGCATCATGTCCCAGTGACCTTAAAAACATTCTAACCAAAAACAGCAGGTGCTATCTCTCACAACGATCGAATGTTTGAAAAGCACAAATGAAATCGGCATATATTAGGGATTATGGGCGTGGTGACTGGAATATTCAACACAGTAATTTTGGAATGAAACCAACGATTGTTGACACAAAAATAATTGTTCACGGTTTTGTTATTTATTGTATGTTCATCTATTCTATTATACATTTAGCAAACTACAAACCGCGTGAGAAACTTCTCAACTTACTCCATAATGTTGTTTCAAATATTTATTGGAGTTTATTGTTCTCGTTTGATCATTTTCTCCCACCATTTCTGTTCAGTGAACTTTTCCAGTCCCGTAACATCATTGCCACGTGCAACATCGCCTGCCACGACTTTGGCAGCCTTGATGCAATCATTTACGCCTACCCCAGTGTATGAATTTCCAGCCACTGCCAGTTTTCCCTTGTATGCGCTTAACAACTCATAATGCGCTTGTTTCAGTCTCTGCTCATGGCCCACAGTATATTGAGGAATACAATCTTTCTGCAAAGATGCATGTACCATTTCTGGTTCTTGGTCGATCTTCAGATGTCGTTTGAGAACGGCTTTTGCCATAGCAGCACCCTCTTCCTCACTAGGATATGTTTCGAAGTCATTCCACCAATGGCCACCTAGCATAACGGTGAATTTGGTCCCTGGAACAGTATCTTGACCAACTGTTGCGTCTGAATCAAATATTACACCAAGAGCAAATTCTGGGTTCTGGTCGAAAGGAATGGATCGTGGGATTAGGTATCCAAAGCCGCGCTCCGGAATGAGATCTTCTTCCCGGTAGTAGAGATTAACAACCATGACCGTCACAGCCTCTGTTTTCGCAAGTGAAGGGAGTAAAGAATCATCTGAAGAGGTACTTAGTGTAGAGAGAGTGCGGCCTGACAAGGTAGAAATAACGTAAGAATGGTTGGTTGATGATTCGCCAGCCTGAGTTGTGTAGATCTAGGTACTTCAGCCATTATTTAGAGGTGTGAAAGGAATAGATTCATACCTTGATGCCTTCACTTTGTCCATCGTACTCGATTTTCCTTACGTCCTCGCCCAGCTTGATTTTTACATTAGGATTACTCCTTAGAGAGGAGTCCAGTGCTTCAGAAAGTGTACCAATCCCTCTGCGGAAAGTATAGACACTTGTTTCGTTGACAATTGCCCTCTCATTATCCGTAAACGAACTCTTCTCCTTTTCCTCCAAATCTGCATCTTCAGCTGTCGCATTCTTGAATTTTGCCATTTGAGACATTCCTGCACTGATACTTCCAAATGCCCCCTCCATTCCCCACTGGGTAGGTATTATACTTTTTGCGCTCAGTTTGTAGATATCACCAGCATAGATACCATGAAATACGGCTGACACTAGATTGTCCGGAATATCTGTCCCTCCTGTTCGCCTAGCCAGAAATGATCCTACAGATTCGTCATCCAATTCTGTCGGTCTTCGTGGCCTCTTATATTCGAAAAGCAACCTGTACATTCCTTTGAAAACTGGTTCTGTCAACATTTTCCAGGCAATGGCGTAAACCCCTTGGCTAGGCTCGGGCATGCACACAAGCCGATCGGGATAATAGATAAAGCGATTCAAGGCAGCGGCAGACATTTTGTTGGTTTTAATCACCTGGTCAGACAGACCAAGATCTCTTATCTAGAATCACGAATTAGAATACTTCAAAGCAAATAGCTAGAAAGCAGATCCTACCAAGTTTAGAGCAACAAATCCCGCAGGCGTGTTCGGTCTTAAAGTCCTCGGCCCTTGTTCAAACACAACTTCACCATCTCCCACGTCAATATATTTTGTCCGTAGCCACCCTCCCAGCCTCTCACTACTCTCATACAATGTAACTTTCAAATGTGGTGCCATTTGGGTGAGATAGTATGCTGTTGCCAGACCCGTAATTCCACCGCCAAGAACTGCGACACTGGGTTCCTTCCATTCTTCTGAGCTTTTATTTTCTGATATAACTTCCGCAGACCTCCTGATTGGAGTATCGGAGGGAACATGGCTACTATAGTATTTCAACAGAGACTTTGATCGTTCGCGAGTGTGTAATTGTGGGCGTGCTTGGTAGCTATATGCTCTAGTACAAGACCCCAGAATGTTTCGCCGACGTAGACGTACGATTTGACATTGAGGAATATTATAGCATCGCCTCAGAGGAGCCAATAAAGGGGACTCGGGCAGACGCATCCTCGTTATAATTATTTGTCAATTCTGTGTAGTAACAGCATGAAACTACCAGTGATATTTGGATGAACCGTTGCGGAGTTGTTTTGCTTGCTATGGTACTGTACCTTAAAAGCTTAGGTATTATTTACTTACCCCTCCCCCCACAAAGCGCTATGCTTCGGTATCAATTTAGGTACACAGCAGAAAACATATGTGGAAGTTTTAATACATATTAATAAGTTGTATAATAAGTATTTCATGATATAATAACTATTCTCCTCGTGATCTTGAATGTATTGAATGCCTTTTATTCTGAACAACGAATCAATATGCTTATCTACCTACTCAAAGACTGCTTTTCTTTTGTTTCTGTAGAATGCAAGTCAGTTGTGGTGAGCTTTAGAAGAGCTCAATGATGAGTCTAGAGTCATAAATTCATAGATTCACATCAAAAGCAAGAGAAGACATGTGAGAGCTTTTCTGTTTGGCTAAGCCCCAAAGTCTTTCTGCTTTGGGGTGCCGAGGGTGCAACGATCCATTCTACCTAAAGATGCTTTGGCTGTGACCAGCTATTCATTATGAGGGCCCAACCAAGATATATCCCGAGAATCCAGCCACGATCCTCTTGTCCATAAAACGCCAGATTATAATCTCCTTCCCACGCATCCCTATGCATGTTGTACATTTTTCTTAAACTAAACATTCTCCCCGTAGCTCATGTAAGTATTCAATCCATCTATTCGGCAATCTCTGCATCACCACTTCTTCCTGCTCCTGTGTCTGCTGATGCTGCTCCTCCAGGTAGAATCAGCTCCTCATTTCCATCCTCGTCCACGAACTTCCGCTCACTGACATGCTCCTTTGAACCATCTGCCACCCATACTTTATCGTCAAATTTTCCTCTCTTCTGGCCCTCTTCATGCTTGAATGCACATGCCGGATTTAAGCAAGGGTTGAATTTGCACATGGTTTTGACGTGTGTGAACTTGCAGTCTGGTGTTGTACAATCGGCGCCATTTCGACATAATGGCATTGTTGGATGTCGGAAGGGGCAGTTGGTATTCTTACAATTTGGGAAATATATGCAGTCTTGAGTGGTTTGATGTGCAATCTTCTGGGCTGGGGATGGGTGCCGCCCAACGCATTTTCGATTTTTGCAGGCTGCACCAAAGGTACAAACATCTGCAACGTCAATAGCCGTTCCTGGAGGAGCTGCAGGAGATTGATGTGCGAATTTGCAGTCTTTATTCGTGCAAGACAAGTTAAATCTGCATGTGGTGTCTGGAGAAAGACTATCAACCTTGTCACTAGAATTCATCTCAACATCCATCGAGTTGTCATTTTGAGCTTGCGGTTGCTGCTCGTGGCGCTTCTGGAAGTTATTGTTTTGGGATCGACTGGGATGTTGCATTCGCTCATGTAAAGGTCTGCCTTGTCCCGGAAATCCTGAGCCCATGCCGTTACCCCCTCGTTGCATCATTTGCTGCTGTTGTGGAGTGAACATTTGCGCCATCAACCTCGATTGCTGCTCAAGCATAGCATACAGTTCGAGTTGTTGTTGTGGAGACATGCCCATGATATTTTGCGCTGCACCATGTTGCGTTGGCATACCCCCCATGCCGCCATGCCCACGCCCGTTTTGCGTGCGAGCAGTACCTCGGATATTTACAGACCCTCTTGGTCCTGTTGGGGGTCCTCGCGCATGCGTATTTATTCGTTCATTTCCCGATTGTGGTCGTACTCGATGGAGAGCGGCATCATGCGTGCGATCCATTGCCTTCGTCAAATGATTCAACATACGTTTATCCCGCGGACGACTAATACCACCACTTCCATTTCGCATTGACTTGGGGCCTGTTGGTCTGTAATATGTTAGTTTTTGGTTTCGAGAAAGAATGTTTCTGATTTTGAAGATAATTAAGAGGCTGATTGCATACACATTAATATCGCCTGCCTCGGAAGCATCATTCATATCCGCATCTTGCGACACGTTTGAATCACCAAATTGACCCTGCTCAGTCTCTGCGCCAGTCTCTGGATATCCTCCGCCGCTAATTTGTGAGTTCAATAATCCAACCTGGTTGAACAACCACTGTGAAAAATCTCTTGCTCCCGGGTCATCATCACCAAGGTTTAGAAGATCGCCTGATAATTCCGCGGCAATTTGTTCCTGCGTCTTTCCATTCACCAGCATGAGGATTATATATTCCGAAAGCGCAGAGTCATCAGCGCCGCCTGTACTCCATCCTACTTCTACAAGCTTTGGTTGAATGGAAGCGTTGAGCGCATGAGCCAGAGGCGAATCCAAGACGACTTCGACCGACATTTTAAATTTCGTTGATCTCTTTGTTTATCAAAAGTCAGGCTTTCAAGTACTTGAGCTGTGGTAGCTCTTGACTGAAATAAGGGTGACGGTAAACTGTGGTAGTCTGTTCACCTGTGACAATCTTGTCAAAAGTCGCAACAAATGAGATATTGTTTTTGGTGGTGGTTCGAATGTTGTAATGTTTGTTCGGCGGTTGTGATCAGTTCAAAAAAAACGATGGTAGGTGTTTGATAGAATAAAGATCTTGAAAGACCAAGAAGCTTAAAGAGCCCTGGCGAATAGCCATATTTGCCTTAGGATGATATATCACGTTGAGCCGCAAAAGGCTAGTCGTGATCACGTGATATGTGTGGCATGTGTGGCGTGTGTAAAGTGGCTCATGTCTACCTACTGATAAATCCAGAGTATATCAACCCTCAGAAATAAGGTTGTACTTTTTTTCTTAGAGTACTTCAGTCTCATCACGTTCAACCCCGCCACTCTTCCCAGCCACTGGTAGTAGACTTTCCAAAATATTTCTAAAATGGTTCATTGTCCATCACCATTTTTGACTAGAATTGTTGGTCGGTCAGCCATGCAATGCAGTCTGGTAACAACGCACCACCCACCATGCACCACTTACCATATTATACAACGCGCTTCACACATTGCATCCTTTGAGTCAGTCAAATGGGAATTTTGGGCTCAAGAAGCGTTTGGCCTTGGTCAGCTCTTTGGTCGCATGTATTACCTGTATTACCCACTAAGAAATACCTTCAGGGCGCTAGCTCAGGTACTCGACCCTCCCCTTTGAAAGCGGGGGAACGGCCACTTGCACATCGACCGACCGAGCCGACTTGATAGATAACTCAAAATTGAGCTCATACATCTATCTGTCTATCTGTCTATCTGTCCATCTATCTATCTATCTATCTATCTATCTATCTATCTATCTATCTATCTATCTATCTATCAGCTCATCCGATAATGGCGATCGGAGCCACCAAGACACAGAACGAATACTTCGCACATAAATCTAGATGTTGATTGCGGCACTGCAAACCAACAGCACACTAAGAGTCTAAGACACACAAACATCATCTTACTATGCTGTTGGAATATGAAACAGCGTTGGATTTTATATATGTTGTGTCATGTCCAACAAGTCTCACAGCCTCCAAGTGCTGACATGTTATTTCGTATTTCCCATGATCGACTCCATCCTTTTACATGTCCAGATACCATTTTTAAATCATCGCTTCCATTGAGCCTTTTGAACGCCGCACCAAAGAAATGATGGGCAAACCAAGAGAACCAGGACCCAGGGGATGTCAAAGCCAGCTACCTCCTTTTAGTATTCTTGGGTCATTTATGATTGAGTGCCAGGTATATTGTACATGTTCTTCGTATCCTTGGGCCTACCAATGACATACTGTGTACTGCATAAATCACAAGCTTCTGAGTTCTGAGTAAGCAAATTTGACTTTTCCTTCCCCTGATGTACATCACAATCTCAATATCATGAGATTCACGACCTTAAAATTCTCAACCCCCAACCTAGATCCATCCTCAAATCCATTGCTACCCAGACACATCCATTTTGATGTCCACCCGTATCCAAGCATATCCAAGCATATCCACTCACATCCACCCTCCCATCCATATCTATTCTCCCTCGCAGATGCATCAATCCGACCAAGGGGGCGACGTGATCAGATAACAAATTAATCGGGCATCCTGTTACTTCAAACTGCTACTCTTCTACTACTACCTACAGTCAGTCAAAGGTACCTCATCACGTCGTACTGTCCCTCACCGGCTTTTGGAGGCGCTTGTCGTAACGTTACGGCAGCTAGATTCGTAGTCTCGCATAGACTTCTCCGCACCAAGTGACAATTATTACCACAACAGGACAACCAGTTGGAACATCGGATTTGGCTACCTGCATATTTATTTATCGTCATATCCAAGCCCTGGGAAAAATTAATTTGATTGCTTTCAACTCTATTCTGAGATTTGCGCAGTCCAATCACTGGGTTCATATTCCTGCGGCACTCCTGAATCCTGGTGAATTTACCACAGCCAATACTGCAAAACATTCGTGAATCCTGAGCCACACGGCTGTACATCAATTAAGTGATTGGCTAGAGCAATTGACATACTCCTGTTCATGAAGTTATATAGTTTACACATCCCCATCTGTTTATTTCATTCCCACTTCTTTCGTTACATCTAATTTACACATACAATACTACATTGGCACTTCTCATCATGCGTTCTTCTACCTTTCTAATATCTGCTTTGGTCTCCTCTGCGTTGGCTATTTGGCCTCAGCCTGTTTCGTATACAAATGGTACTGGTGTTTTGTGGTTGGATAAGAACGTCAAGGTTACTTATGATGGCGGCGCTGTACGATCATTCCCTCCCATTTTTTATGTTGACATGAATACTGAGAAATTGCTCGCTGTACAGTCTACAGGATATTCTAGTAGTGGAACTGGAAATATAACAACCAGCAAGACGATCGTTTCCAAGGCCGTAACTCGAGCTATGAACAAGATCTTCTATCAAGGTTTGACACCATGGAAATTATATCCCCGAAACACCTTGCCCCTAGTTGAGCCATCAGCTACCTCAAACAAGACCTACATCAGCGAAATCCTCATCACCCAGACCGGACAAGATAACTCCTCCACATTCAAGCCTACGGATGGTCAGGTTGACGAGTCATACAACCTCACAATCACTACTGATGGAAAGGCCTCTATCAGCGCCCCATCATCTATTGGCATCCTTCATGCACTGACCACGTTCACACAACTCTTCTACACACATTCTGTTGCTAAAGCTGGTGTCTATACAAAATTAGCTCCCGTGACAATTTACGATGCACCAAAGTTTGCACACCGCGGACTTAACATGGATATATCCCGAAATTGGTATCCTGTTGAGGATATCAAGAGAACAATGTTAGCAATGCATTACACTAAATGTAGTGTTATCCATTTACACATCACCGATGCTCAGTCGTGGCCTTTGGACATTCCAGCACTTCCTGAATTGTCAAAGTTAGGTGCTTATGCGACCGGATTGTCCTATACCCCCGCAGACCTCAAGGAAATTCAAGAGTATGGCGTTGAGCTTGGCATTGAAGTTATCTTGGAGATTGATATGCCTGGCCACACAAGCTCCATTGGATATTCTCACCCTGAGCTCATGGCAGCCTTGTTTGCCGAACCTTGGGATACCTACTGTGCTGAACCTCCTTGTGGATCATTGAGACTTAATGATTCAGCCGTACCAGCATTCCTTGAGAAACTGTTTGATGATCTTCTTCCTAGAGTCTCTCCATATTCATCATACTTCCACACTGGTGGAGATGAAGTTAATGTTAATACCTATTTGTTGGATCCGACCGTTCAATCAAACGATACCGCCGTTCTTCGGCCATTAATCCAAGCATTTGTGGACAGAAACCACAAACAAGTTAGAGCTGCTGGACTTACTCCAATGGTCTGGGAAGAAATGATCACAACATGGAACCTCACCTTGGGATCTGATGTTCTTGTTCAATCATGGCTCAGTGATGCCTCTGTCGCTCAAATTGTCGCGGCTGGACATAAAGCTATTGCTGGCAATTATAACTTCTGGGTATGTATCTTACAATCTATCCGAATCAATCAATTCACGTACTAACAAACTTTTAGTATCTCGACTGTGGTAAAGGACAGTGGCTCAATTTCGAGCCAGGTGCATCCTCTGAGAAATACTTCCCCTACAATGATTATTGTTCGCCTACCAAGAGTTGGCGCTTAGTCTACTCCTACGATCCTCTCGCCGGAGTACCCGAAAACTCAACTCATTTGGTTGTCGGCGGAGAATTTCACATTTGGTCTGAGCAAACCGATCCAATTAACATTGACGATATGGTCTGGCCAAGAGGAGCTGCCGCCGCAGAAGTATTGTGGTCAGGAGCTAAAGATCCAGTCACTGGACAGAACAGAAGTCAAATCGACGCAGGCAGCAGATTGCCAGAATTCAATGAACACCTGAGAACTTTGGGAATCAGATCAGGACCTGTACAAATGATTTACTGTACACAACTCAACTCGACAACATGCGCATTGTAGGTTGGGAAGTTGGGATAGTTACTATGAAGCTATGGATATCGGCGGAATTGCATTTGGGAAAGGTGTTTTTGGGGGGCATGGATATTAATATTACATTTATATCTCTACTTAGACTTACTTTCCACATATACATAGATTAGATTTTGATAGGGATTTACACAACGATGAAGATTTGACCAATGACCTGTCTATTTGCCAGTCCCGATGAGTATATGAAGCCTCGAGAGTGTAGGTATCTGAGTAGATTTCTGGGATCAACTGTAAATTATCAATCAGCCAGGCCACCTGAACATAAAAAAATACCTTGGGCATCTAGCTGGTATCTGGTATGTAGTAAGCGAGTGGTGTTTACAGTACACAAAGTCCTCCATGCATTTCTTCATTTTTTATAGACTTGACGCTCCCATCAGCTCCCACCAGCTCCTACCGATCCCAAGACTTGTTCACGTACTCACTTACTAGGTATGTGTTGAACAGAATTTCTATTAATAACGCACAGATGATTATTTGATATACGACGTATTCCTCATCATAACAATAAATGTGGAAACGGCAAGCGGAATCAAACCTTACCCCGGATTTGTTAACAGATCTTGTTTCTTTTACATGTGGAGCCTCGGTCCTCCTCGCAAGCCATCAATGTTTCCCTTCCTTCTCCTCTGAAACACTCCGATGTACAGAACACACAAGAATCTCGTAAAACTTACCAAGGAAATGTTCAAGCCATCATTTCCAATTCAAGCAAAGGTAAAGATCACAAGGGGCGCCCCTCCTTGTCCTCCTTTCCCTTCTTGCCATTCCTTAAGAAACCCCCACCTAACGGTACAAACGGAACTTGAAGATTGCGACAAGGTCTAATAATTCATCCGATTCTCAAGGTATAACAAAGACTACAAATCCGTGCAAATATGATAAGTATAATTGAAAACAACGCCTGGTTTCAGACTTGGCTATATATGTCTTCTTTTTCTTAGTTCTGGATGTTACTCATTCATTTGTTTCTTCGTTTATTCATCATATCTCATTCCCATATACATGAGCGAGCATATTGACCTGTAAATCAAAACAAACCCAGCATCATGTTGGAAAGCATATCAATAAAGTCTCTCGTCGTACCATTGGTCGTGATTTTCGTCTTGTTTAAAGTCACACAATTCGTTCAGAGAGAGCTTAAGATTAGATCCCTGGGTGGTCATGCCAGAAGAGCGAAAACATGGATTCCATTCGGTACAGATTAAGACTACAATTGCCTGTGCGAAGAGGCTTGCTAATGATCTTCAGATCTCGACCTCGTTGCGCGTTCGGTCAACTATGGTATGCATGATAAGAATCTCGAAGCCTGGATGGCATTTTTCTCCGGTTACAAAGACCTACGTTATACAGTAGAGGCAAATCCAGGAGGACAACGTACGCTTTTCACTGCGGAACCAGAGAACATTAAAGCTATACTCGCGACCCAATTCACAGATTATGGCAAGGGGGAACCATTTCATAATGATTGGAAAGACTTCCTTGGTGACAGTATCTTCACGACAGATCTTGACCAATGGCATGATTCTCGTCAATTGATACGTCCACAATTTATCAAGGATCGAGTTAGTGATTTGGATACTTTCGAGAGACATATTCAGGTTTTAATCCGGAAGATCAAAGAAGAAGGTAGAAAATGGGATGGCACTCAGGGGCGGGAGATTGATGTCAGTGATTTGTTCTTCAGATATACTCTAGATGCTGCGACAGACTTTTTGCTAGGACGCAGTGTGGAAAGTTTAGAGAAGCCGGGAGAATTTGCAGATGCTTTCGCAGAGGTTCAGCGGGTCCAGAGTATTATCGCGAGAGCTGGGTATGTATTCCAGTCTTCATTTTTGAGGACAATCACTAATGTTGTAATTAGACCTCTAAATGGATTAGTTCCAAGGAAATCATTCTACAAAGGTCTTAAGGTTATAAACGAATTTGTTACCCCCTTCATTGAAGACACGCTTCGACTTTCTCCCGAGGAACTAGCAACCAAAACGAAAACAGAGGAAGGGTATACATTTCTCCATGCATTAGCGTCCTACACGCGTGATAGAAATGTACTTCGAGATCAACTCGTAGCAGTTTTACTTGCCGGTCGCGATACAACAGCTTCCACTCTCTCATGGACATTTTACGAACTGGCTCGTCATCCTGAAGTTTTCAGGAAATTGCGCGAGGAAATCATCTCGAAAGTTGGTCTAGAGACACCCCCAACTTATCAACATTTGAAAGATATGAAATATCTACAGGTACGTCCTTCATTGTTCGTTACAGCATAAACCCCTTACTTACAGCTGCAGAATGTTATGCACGAAACCCTTCGTCTTTACCCCGTCGTTCCCTTCAATGTCCGTCTCGCTCTCAAAGATACCACACTGCCAGTCGGTGGCGGACCAGATGGCCTCTCTCCTATGGGAATTCTTAAAGACACTCCAATCGGTTACTCCACTCTCATTATGCAACGCCGCGAAGATCTTACTCCAGATGTCATGTCCTTCAATCCCGACCGCTGGTTTACATGGCAGCCCAAACCTTGGCAATATATTCCTTTCAACGGCGGTCCTCGAATCTGTATTGGTCAACAATTTGCACTCACCGAAATGGGCTATACGATTGTTAGACTCTTGCAAAACTTTGATGGGCTCGAGGGATTTATGCATGAAATTGATGGAGGAAATCCGCAATTGAAAGCGGATATTGTGTTACAGCCTGGACAAGGTGTACACGTGGGATTTTTGGAAGGGCAAAGTGGAACTATGAAAGAGAAGGTCTAGGATGGTGAAGATGGTGTGTCTGGTAATGACGATCCGGCGTTGATTGCTTACTTGGCTGCTCAGGGAACTGGCCAAGGGAAATGAATTTTAACGATTGATGAAAGTGCTCATCTCAGCTCAATTCATGATACAAAAATACCAAAAGGGGTTCCTTTATCTATTTTTACAATAATCTGAATTTCATGCTACGTGAGTATCAAAAGGAATAAAATACGCATAACGAATGAATAGTGAACCAAGTGTCTCGTCACAATCATTCTATCATATACGATATTCGAAATCTTCATTATTCCATCACATACAAGCATCCTGTAGTCTCAATTTGTTTGTCATCCTAACAGTAGTGCTGATATATTTATCATGTCCGAATCTACGAATCTACAGCGGAGTATAAGTCTGTTCTTTCTAGTTTTCTAGAATTAGGGGCTTGATTATAATACTGAAGGCCATGCGGAATTAATATTGAGTAATAAGATGATAGGGAAGGAGAGGTCAAAATCACCGGATTTGAAGTACTGTGAATTGAGAGTATAAATATCCGGTTGGGACGACTGTCTTTGGATTTTGGTATACTACGCGATACAACAGTGCAGCGCAGCAACAAGGCGACAAAGACTGTCGAGATAGATTGATGTGGTGTGGTTGTTGGAATTATATCTTGTATGTATGGTGAGGTAGCATGAGAGATGAGATGGTATTGTGTACGGACTGAACTGTGAGTACTGTCTTGATGACAACGCTCTGGAATCCGGCGATGATTATCGTGTTGTCGATTGTTTAAGGCTATTGAATGACACTTGTTGTTGTTGTTTTTATTTGCATCTTTTACGTGCAAGATTCTTTTGGATTGTGTGTTTTGTTTCGTCGTGAAGAATCGAGAAGATGGGTGGTATGTTTGTGTTGGGCTGAAGTGGGTTGATCTATAGATTGGTAGTATGGATCCTGAACCTAGATGGTAGTGAGACGTCAGGTCAAGATTTGTTTGGGGAGTTACTTTTATACTGTGGATGGAGGTGGGAATCGTGGGGGGTGGAGTATAGGGATGGGGGTTAGAGGGCGAGGGAACTGAGATGTAGTTTGTTAGTGGGAGTTGTAAGTGATGCTGATTCTTTTAGTTCTGGTGTCATATCTGATCGATTGACTTTCGTGACTGGTTGCAGTACTAGACCCGGCGAGGGAAATGTATGAGAGAGATTTATACGATCTGGAATACTTCTTCCTGGGGGTGAAATTCACGAATTTCAACGGTTATGCTGAGTCCGGTGGAATACTGGTGGAATGCTCGGCGTTCTCTTTTCTCTGGGGAGGATTTTCTGCAACGCTTTGTGAATAGGGAAAATTGAAACTGCGATGTGTGTGTATGCTACGTTTTCTGGTGAACATTCATTGTCATATCGAACACTTTCTGTTGTTTATTTTTTGTCAACAGCGATCAGGTATTACAGATAACCTCAAAGTTTCCCTGAACGGCATTATTGGTTGATCACCATCATACTTTCGCGCCGCTCATAATTAAGGTATGAACATCTTAACAGTATGAGTCTTATGTATCGAGTGTATCTGCCAAACTATTGATATATTTACATCGGCGAAACAGTTTTTCTCCCTCAATCAGCCTCTTCCTTTCAGCTTTCTTCGCCGAGCCCATCGATCCAAAATCATCTGCGCCAGACACGACTTGTTGCCATGTCCCAATATTATCATTTTTCAGATTCCGCTTAATACTATCAGAGTTATCTTCGTCTGTCAAGAGAACAGGTCCTGTACCATGTGGTCCTCCAATGACCTGAATTTTAAAACTCTCGAGCTGTGTATTTTCTATCTCAACTTTTTTGTACCATTCCAGCCATTTGTCAAATTGTTTCTGTGATAGAGATGTACTAATCGGATTCCCAGTATAAGCAGAATTGACAAGACTTCTAGCCATCGTCTCTGATATCTCATTGTCTTCTTCCGTTAGTTGACCTTTGGGAAATACACCGTTGAATAAATAGTTGTTGTCGGATCCGTGAGATACTTTAACATAAAGCATTCCAGCCCTTTTCCATAGCGGAGTCAAAACACTCTGATTCAAGTCGTAAAGTCTTACTCCCGTGAATGTAGGATCTATCATTCGTTGTGTCCATTTAACCATGTGATACCCAAAATCGATCGAGGAACAGGTAAAAAGCACGTCTCTCAAGATGCGGAAACTCGAAAGTAGTGAACTGAGATATCGGGATCTTCAGAAGCTTTTTGTGATATGTAATGAGTCAATTCTTCTTCAAAGTCTGAGGCTGAGTATAGATCAAATATCTCTGCATATTGTTCTGCAGTCATGGCATGAATGAATGATTTAATGGAGGTGACCATATCTTCTTCAGATTGAATGAGGTGTCCGGGGCCAACATTCATGGCACCATCATCTTGAGTCATCCAAATATCGTATTAGTGCCTAGACTGAGTTAGAATACACGTTCCCTCGTGATTGTTGACGCAAATTATAGATAACCTACCTTTTACAAATCTACCCTCGTGCATCATAATTGAGTAACGATCAGGTGGAAAATCATCATCAGTCGAAGGAATAAAGGTAAAAAGATCAGAGGGTGGATGATTTGATACGGAATACGCCATTGCAGAATCAATGAGATCTTGCATTGGGATATCCCGCAAGCATGAAAGAATTTCCGAATCCACAAGTCCTCCACAGCCGACTCTATCTGCCACAACTCTTGTATGATGCTCAGTTGCATCACTTGTCATATTTAGAGAAGTGCCAGGTGGTCCAGACATCACCCATGCTTGCTGAAAAGGTACACCTTTCTGACCACCATATGCCATTATCTGAAGCGAGGTCATAGCACCTCCAGCACTCAAACCATAGGCAGTGATACGATTGGGATCGTCGCCGAATTCTTGGATATGATCTCTAACCCATTCGAACGCCGCACGTTGATCTCGCATACCAAGGTTGAGTGACTTCTCATCTTCTAATATAGGTAGTCGTGGGAATCCAAAGATACCGAGACGGGAATTTAGAGCTGCAAATATTATGGGATTTTCGTCGGTGACGGATAGTGAGATGAGCTTGTCGGGGGAGATGTGGTCATTGTGGTTGGAACCTTTGATGGCTCCTCATTCGGCGTTGTATACAACGACTGGGAGGCAGCTTTTTGAGTTCAGATTTAATCCGCTTGGCCGAGCAATGTGGAGATGTAAACAATCTTCGCTGATTTCCTCGATTTCAGAGAAGGAAGGTAGCATAGGATCTTTAATTTGAGGACATGCTGGACCGGGTGAAGAAGCATCTATGATGTAACCAGGAGGGGTTATAAATGGCGTTGGAGGTGCGAAGCGATTAGGTCCAGATGTATCAGAAGCGTATTTAATTAACATTGTGGAAGTGTTCGACTTTGTTTGAAATGATTCCCCGGTAAGTGACTAGAGATCCTGAGAAAATTACTTCGGGGGTGGATGAAGATCTTGTCGCGGAGGTAATGGAAAGGAAACCTGAGATCAGGGACACGGGGATGCGCCAAGCAAGCTGCGATGATTGATACATGGTTATGTGAAGGGAGAAAGAGTAACACTTTTGAGAGATTCATTTCGACGAAGTGTGATATAAATGTATGTACAGATTCCTCGGTAATGTGCAACTGTTGCAATCTAACATTCAACCAACAGTCTACCAACAGCTTGCCCAGTATGCCACTTTCTTGCATTTGAATTCATTTCCGCTCCTCTAATATACCTTTGTTCTCGGATTCATGGACGATAACAACACATCGTAGAAACCCGCCTCATACTCTCCAGCCAATTTTCGTTCCATCCTCGAGAGGTATTTAAGAACCTTTTCCAGCACAGATATTAACTACTTACAAAGAATACATCACTTCTGGGACCATTCAAGGTGTTTCGTCACAGTGATATAGTCTCGTAATCATCCAAGCTTTACTTGAAGATTTCGAGCCAATGCACCGGCAATCATACCGGATGAGTAGACACCGAGGATGGAAATCTTGTCGTCATTGCACCGTTTAGTTGCCACTAAAGAACCGCACGTACTGCTAGTGTTGTTTATAATACTGCTTGATTCACGACCTTGCCGGTATTATAAATTCCAATCGTAGTCAAGTGAGCCATCTTGCAAAGAATTTTTCCTCCCGACTTACTTCAAGTCTATGAGCTGAAACGGAAGTGAACCCAACCCATATAAAAGCAAACAACTTGCTAATAACTCCAGCCCTAACCACGAATATGGGGTGAGAAAGCAGACCCATATGATTCAATACAAACACCTTGAATCCTCCCACATCACACAATACAAAAAGCTCATCGATCCACCCTTCCTTCCGCACAACCAAAAATGTCAGGCCAAGGTTCCCAACGCCTTCATGGCATCTCCACCAAGCCAAACCCAGTCCTAACATTGAAGAAGCAGAATCGCGTATAAGAACCGGCCCAGAAAAGACAGGGAAATAAAAATAACGCTCCAAGTTAACGCCATAATTGACAGCAAGATTAAATTTTTTTATCATTATCAATTCTCTCAATTGCCACTGGACAGTTTTTGTTGTTGTCCCTAATATCGAGCTTTGATTCGTGCTAAATGAACATTGCTATTCGCATTTTCAAGACTTCGGGAAGTTGATATATTGAGACAGAACAAGTTTGCGCGGCTTTCCACTCCTCGACCTCGGCTCAAAATTCCACATGTACCCCCGGTCCTCTTCCATCTCTTCAAAAAAAAGAGCGAGGATCGGTTGAGACATCGATTGTTATATACGAAAATGGAGAATGAGGTAGAAATTACAGATTCACTCTGCGAAAAGGTCATAATTTTGACATATAGGCTGAACTTCATGTTCAGGATCATCTTGATTCGAGAAAGCCTTAAGATACTATACAACATACTAGTTCTTCCTGTCAAATTTCATGGCTCTGGAACTTGGTTTGAAAATCATCCCGTTATCTCGCAACAGATTGTCTAACCCGATTTGATATCAACGCCTCGCAACTATGCAATCAAAATGCACCCCCTTATTCAATGCCAAAACTGTTTTTAACAGCCACTCCGAATCTCTCAATAGCCTCTGTCATCTTTTCCTCCGATGCAGCAGCGAATGTGGCGCGGAAAAACATATCTACAGGTACAAAGCCGTCTTTCTCAGCTGTGAACCAACTACCTGGACAAATGAGAACGCCTTGGTCAATGCCGGAGAGGAAAATTTCTTGCTCGATATCTCCAATTGACTTGGTTTTGGCAGCTGGGTGTTTATGCCAATCTACCGAGAGCCAGAGCTGAAATTTGTTAGTCAATTCCTATCGAATTTGGGTTCATGAAATACTTACGAACATGCCGGCAGATGGTGGGTTCCAGCTTACGATATCCTTGGGCAAGTATTTTTCACATGCGGCAAGAATAACATTTCGGCGCTTAGTGTATTCCAATCGAAGGTTGATCAGCCATTGAAGATAACCACCATGTCCCCAGCTTTCATCAAGAATTTTGTAGAGAACCATCTGGGAGATTCCACTTGGGTTTTGGTTGGAGTTCTCATTGGATCTAATAAATCTCTCGACGATTTGCTCGGAAGCAGTGATCCATCCTACTCTAGTACCAGGTGCAATTACTTTGGAGAAAGAATCCATCCGCATTACTCTTCCATCAGTATCAATGCTTAGGTAGGTTGGAATGAGAGCTTTCAAAAATTCATCATTATTAGCGGGTGGTGGGACGTCGGGAGCATCTGGTCCTGTGTATGGCTGCATTTGGAGGAAATAGTAGGGTTCATCTTCTATGATGTATAAATCGTGCTTTTGAGCAACCTTGTAGATAGCATGCCGCCTCTCGGTACCTTGAGTTGCACCGGTAGGGTTTTGCCCAGAAGGTACAGTGTAAAGAACAAATGGCTTTCTAGCCCCCCTTGCCTGTTCATCCCAGTTGCTCAAAATTTCATCCAAGGGTTCTGGTAAAAGACCTTCAGCATCCATTTTGACACCCAAGAATTTTACACCAAGAGGAGCGGCAGTCTCGACAGCAGAAGCAAAGGTATATTCTTCAGATAACACAAAGTCGCCTCTTTCACAGAAGATGCGAAATGTCTGCTCCAAAGCTGAGGTACTTCCGACAGTAAGAGAACAGCCCCAATCTGCATAAGGTGGGTTGCAAACGATTTCGGTATGTTCTGTTACCCATCGAAGCATCTGGGCAGATCCAGAACCTTGTCCATAGTTGAGTGCGATAGATAGATCATATGCTCCCTTGCCCTCAGACACATCATATTTCCCAGCAGTTAAGATGGTTCCAGATTCTTTTGTTTGTGCTTCCGAGAAGTGAGGTACTGTAGGAACCTTGATGGATAGTTCTTCGATTGGGAAATAGTCGGGACATGGTAAACCTCCACCGAGAGAAATCATTCCAGGGCCCAAGTATTTAGCAGCGCTTTTTAAGTTCGATGGCTTTCTTGATCTGCTCTCGAGGGAGATACGATCTGCGAGTAATTAGTCAAGGTGCATGTACATATACAGATTGAAAGGGTGACTTACGATCAAATCTTTTGGCCTTTGGTTTCCATGTTGACTGTGACTCATTAGGCAATGGCCAATATCTCTGGGATAGAATATACCAACCGGGCTTTTGAAATGGTCACTAGTAGTAAATGCTGCGACACCTGCAACAAACTTCCCAGCTTTTGCCCTTCTTGCAGAAACTCCATTGACAGTCAATGGATCAGGAAGGACGATAGATTCAGTATCGACTACACCTTCAATATCAATTGCAGTTGGAGGAGCCATCTTCTCTTATCTGACTTGATCTGAGTTGTGAAAGTATGGAGGAAAGTAAATGGAGAGGAAAGATGTGTAGAAGAGGTAAAGACTGAAAGAATCTTTGAGGAAAGACACAGAAATACGGTGAGTTTATACTTGATGCGACTTCCCGTTGTTGAGTATGTAGTTTGCAAGGGTTGAGACAGTTGTTCAACCGGTGTCAAATCGAAGGGCGTAACTCTCCTTCGCAATCTTATGGAGGAAAATAACTTACAAGAAAAGGATGTGGAGACGGAGGACGGGAGACGGGAAAGTTGAGACGTAAATGAAGTAAGAAAGATAACAATGTGACTCCCATTCGCATTATATGTATCATGTATACCTGAAGATCACAGAAATTATCATGTAATTATCAAGTCATCAAGCAATGGTTCCACCATCAAAAGTGTCAGAGAGTCAGAGAGTTTTTACTCCAGTAGAGGGGAAATGTTCGGATTGCCGGTATCGCTGGGTATTTGAAGAAGGTTTGAAAGACCCTTATCGCGATAGAAGCCGTAGATAAGCGATACGACCTTCCCCTTATTGGATTAGCCTACGCGGGTCAGTTCCATCCATTGTGGCATATCACTGATGACTGGGATGAAATAAGGGAAAGATTGGAGGCTCGGAAGGGGATTGATTGGTGTTGTGCACGATTCACGAAGAGAAGAGAGTGACATGTCGCCGTTGGTTGCATCTATTGATTGGCTTGAGAAGATTGGCCAATAATGAAACCTTGGCTTGAGGGCTGCTGATTGATTCGTTGACCGACTGCCTGGTAAGGGAGAAGAAGGAAGGAGAGGAAGTATAAAACAGTCTTGGTGGAATCAGTACCTAATAGTTTTATGTAACCCGAGTGTTTAAATATTGGGGTCAGACAGCATTGGGGGATATTGGCACATGAAGCAGTGTGTCCAGATATCTATTCACAAACCATAGATCCGTTGCAAAAATGGATATAGATAGAAACACAGCATTTTGACCATATCCAATAGAACATCAAGAACCGCTCATTTGATTATGCTATAGAAGATTTGATGTCACCTCTTAGAAGTATCGTCATTCCCCTTGCATATGGCTACATGTAGTAAAAGAGTCCTGAAATATGTTTGTATATACTTTCTCTCTTTCGACTAGCAGGGCTCGAGCAAAGAACAGTGAAGAGACAAAAGATCAAGATCAATTGGAGTAATGAGTATATCTAACTAATCATGACATGCGCAAAAAATGCAAAAAGAAGCAGTTTGTAGGGAATTGAGCCCAACGCGGGGGTCGAACCCGCAACCTTGTGATGGACCAGAAGATCTTTGAAATCATAAGAGTCACACGCTCTACCGATTGAGCTAGCCGGGCAGGCTGTTTGCTCCATTTGATGGAAGCACCAGACGGGTGTAGCAATATATCATCTTGCCAAGAATAAAAGCTTTCCGTGCGTCAAATAGAATTACCCGCTCTCCGTAAGCGAGCCTTCCTACAGCTTCATATCTTCCAATGAGTTGACAAAAATAGAGAATGTTGTCAAATAAACACTTAACACGTCCCCTATTCGTTTATGAGAGTATTTGTGTTCATTTTCTGTTGATTCTCAATCAATTCAAATCACACATTGAAACCAACAAAAGACTCGGGTCACCGTTTTCGCTACATGCGGGGTGTTATGCACGGATGGCGGGGAGCTTTGAGATATCTTCCTCAAACATTATTGCTCTTTGAGAATCTGACTTTAAATATTCGCATGTTCTTAATGTCTGCAACATTTTGATACCTTCCAAAGCATTAACATTCGCACTATTGTGTGAGAATGACTGAACGGATTTGGATATAAGCCTTGTACTTTAACGGAGTAATGAGCTTCTAGTGCTCATGATTTTTTGCGTCTTAAAGAGTGTTGACAGTTAATAGGTACACCAATAATCTTATCAATCTACATTGCGGGAGTTGGCGGCTGCAATACAAGAGGTCAATCATGAAGTTCAAGTTGGACAATACATACTTCAAAATGGTGCCTTTCACTTTCTTCTATCATACAGTCTAGATCACTAGATTCAATCTCATCGGCCTCTCCGGTGCTTAATCGATGCAACCGCAACGGTAAAACCGCGCCTGGAACCAATTATTACCAGTTATTGACATTTTCGCGTGTTTATGCCTTTTTTCTTTGTATGGTTTTTTGAATTGCTCTACCGAAACTGATTTCCACTCAATATGCATTCAGGGTCAGTGGGTCCACACGTGCATTCCAATTCAGCTGGGTGTGGCACCCAAGAACATTCCATTTTGAGGTTCTTTACCCATGTAAATGCTCCATTGCCAAGGCAAATATTCCCTTTTATGTTCGAGTATGGGGAAACTGTCCTGGAAAAGTTAATGGGCTGAGTATATAGACCACCTTCGATAATACTAGCTCCAGGCTAGCTCCTTCGAAGGTATAATTTTTGGGACAGTGACCATGAATGCACCAGGGGTATCTATCCTCACGATTGAAGAATCCCACTTTTTTGACAGCGTCAGCATCAGACTTCAGCTCTCTAAATATCCATCTTCGAAGTCTCATATCCTGATATGTATCTTTGGACCGAGTCTAGAGAGACAAACTTACCCAAATCCGAACTCAGACAACAAAAGTATATCTTCATTTTTTCTCATTTCGGCGATCTAGACCGCTGCGTTAGCTGCTATGAGGATGCGGTGGTACTGTGGCTTGCGTTCAAAGAATTGTCGACTGGAAGTCACTCATATGTGATCATGGAATCCAGGAGTATAAGTAGGACGCCAGCTTTATCTGTTATGTAAAGTTCAGCAGGCACCTCATTCTTCTTTTGTTTTACTTCCACAGTAATTGAACGCACAAACAACTCTGCCATTATACACTTATAAAATATCATGTTGTCTCTATCTCAGAATTGGCGCTCTTGTATAGCAGCGTTTGCTCTTACATTTTCGGTCATCAACGCCTCTCCTGTACCTGGTCAGACTTCTAGTGTCTTAAGTGTTGTTTCAGCATACAATGGAGCCACAACTATTACCGCAAGCACTCAAGTAAACTCATGATACCTCATCGCCACCTTTCATTGCTAATTCATCTTGCAGGTCGTCACTTACGCCGCTACCACGATTTCGACTAGTGGTACTTTGACCTGTACGAAAGCTGGAACCTACAGTATTGGAACGAGCACAACGGTTGTTTCGAAACCCACAAACATTCCATGGACGGCACAGGAAGTAATCTACGAGTATTGTCCATTTTCCGTATTTGCCCTTTTTAGCTGCGCTACATGTCCACGCCTCATTACTGTTGAAAAGTGCTATCTTGGTTATTGTGAAATCAGCGTCGAATTACGAACTCCTTCTAAGGGTACTACCAGCACCAGCACCTCGAATGCCAGTTCAACAAATTTCATTATTGGTATTGGGTATTTGGAGCCAACAGTAACGACCACTAAGGCTCTTTCTGCTTATGCTACGGGATACACATCAACTATCCCAGCTAAACTGCTTGCAGCTGGAACTGTCATTGTTGGATCTCCAGTTCCTTATGTTACTTTGACGACTTACCTTGATGATGGATCGCAAGCTTATACTTCAACCATTGGTGGTACCATTTTGGATGCCATATCAATTACAACCATCACTTATACCACTACTGTATCAGCCTATGACTCGGCTTATACCTCCACAATCTCCGCGGAAAACTCAACGCCTGGAACTGTAATTGTGGCAACTCCGGCACCATTTGTTACTTCAACTATTTACCTCGACAATGGGGAATCTGCTTACACTTCAACTATTGGTGGAGATGTCAATTTTGGAGTTCCTGTGGGCACTGTTACAACCACCACATTTCTTCCTACTGATGGCATAGCTTTCACCTCTACAGTTCCTGCAGCTGGACCCAGTTCGGGAACAGTCCTTGTTGGATATGTCCAGAGTGATGTCACTACTACTATCACTGGATCCGCAGCTGCCACAAGTACTATAGCTCCCTCTGGCACAATTCCAGGTACTATAATTATTACGGTGCCCACACCCGATGTAAACTGCAACAACATCGGTGTCCAGTTCGCAGCTTTTGCCGAAACTCCACAAATCATCAACTCTGCCGGAACATACGCGAATTTTGACCCCGTCATTTATAAAACCCAGACTGCAGAGATCACTGGCAACACCACTGCTGTCAGTTATAGCGTCACAACCTACACAAACACTGCTGTATCTGTGTATGGTAGCACCCAAAAGCTCAACGACTTCTATCTCGTCATTGATAATCGTGGATACCTCTTCGCTCAGATGACTGGTACATATACCTTCTCCACGACATCAGCCGATGATATTTTCTTCCTTTGGGTTGGAGCTAATGCATACTCCGGTTGGACCCGTGCTAATGCCGATTTGATTGCAACATTGACTTATCCATCACAAAAATTTACAATCGATTTGGTTGAAGGAGAATACTATCCAATAAGATTCTTGTGGGCGAATGGTGATGGACCGGGTCTCTTTGCTTTCTCGGTTACCGCCCCTGATGGAACTACTATCTTGGATGGTAATACTGTTGCTAGTCCTTATGTGGTACAATTTTCGTGTGATGGTACTTCGGCACCTGAATATCCTGCCTGGGGCGCTGAGAATTAATTGTGTTTGGATTGTTATTTATGTGTTGAAAGAGGACTTCTACTTATGATGTGGAATGATAGGATGGAAGAGCTACGGCTGATGAGAACTGCTCTCAATGTTGGGGGATAATTAGAACAGGTACTCTTAAACTTTGAAGACTAATCTATACTTGTCAATTTTATACTCATATTGTCAACATTTAAAGGACTTGACTTTCCTCGGATTGTAAGTACCACTATCTGATAATTATATTCACTAGTATTTTACTTCCTTCAGACCTAATCGACCACATGAATTGGTTGGCTTGAGGTTGGCTTGATCGATAGACCTTGCCACTAGCTTTGTGCACAGACCACCAATTGACAGACATGCTCTCATTCATTTCATCATTGACATCCAAACATTGAAATACCAGACTTTAATTGACTTCATCAATTTCATCAATTTATGATATACAAGTTCTCTTCCATCATTTGCTTTCAATTATTCTCTGCATACTTGCATTGATGTGCCGATGATTGATAATCTCGAGACGTGGCATCATGCACATGGGCGTACTTGGCTCTTAGGTGTTGATATCGACATTCGAGATGACAACAACCAATACATCGGATCTATGTGTGGTAAAATAAGATGAGACCATATCATCTATACTATCAAGCTGTGGTTATAAGTTTAAACGGTATACTTTGCCATCATGCTTCTCTCTGCCCATTAGGCCATCGGCCATATTACTGGAGCGGTCACCCAAGAGACAACCATATAACGACTACAATCTGGTTCGTCCCGTGTACCTTGAGCTATTGACCCTCGGGTTCGATTCAAGCTGGTAAGAGATCAATCAACGAGAAAGGTATACAAGTGTTTTACCAAATTCTCGAAAGCTGCCTCTTCGTCATGATCTATCTGTTCAGTTGTTACTGAATGATGGCGATATCCCCACATTCAAGCACCATTGTGGGTCCCTGGCCATATCATACCCACACGACATCGGAGTGTCAAAAGAGACCACCAAAAGAGAGACCGCTGAAATGAACTGGAAGCATCTTGTGATCATATTGAAAACAGGGCAATACATCTTTAGAACATTTACTGGTCTAGGTATCAAGTGGATGATGATGGATGTTTCTAAAGACTCCAACCAGCAATCTTATCTGGTCCCACGTTCAAGTGAAATTGGGGAGCTCGGACGGTCTACATCCTCCATGGATTTACCGTTTTCCATCTTCCATCCCCACGCTTTAGCAAGCTCGATTATGTTTTTGAATAGCATGCACCTTTACAACAAAAACGGCCGGATGGTGTAGTTGGTTATCACGTGTCCTTAACAATTAACAGTTGTTAAAATACGGACAAGGTCCTGGGATCGTGCCCCAGTCTGGTCATATCTTTTGCATTTTTCCTTCCTTTTTTTCCTACTTGTGGTTGATAGCCAGAACGAAGAGTAGCCTTTTGTCACTTCTGTTGAATTCACTTGAAGTGGGTTATTCATGGGCCGTCCAAGAAATATCCGGAATGAGCTTCAGGCGAACACTTGGAAAACATCATCATTCCCTTAACAATATGCGTTGATAAGTTTTGACTTCGAAGGATTCTAGCCAGATAGGGATACCCAGAGGGAATTATATCACTATGAAAATTAGCAGTTTTGCCAATGGGATTTTCGAGTTCGGAATAATAAAAGCAGACCTCTTTCGTTTATTTAGAATGATGCCGGCTGCGAGTTGTAATAAAAATGGATATTTCATTCAAGTAATCACAAAATCATAAGATTTCCCTGCTGGCGCAATGGTAGCGCGCAAGACTTCTAATAGACTTTAAGTCTATAAGTTGGCATCTTGAGGCTACAGGTTCGAATCCTGTGTAGGGAGTTACCCTGAGTATCATTGGTTTGAGCCCAATTTAGAAATCTTTCTTTTTGCATTAATACTACGTTTCCATCTATTCACTGCAGGCGAAGAAGCTATCTGAAGAAACACAAAAATCTGCACTCGGAATAGCTACCATCTTCAAAGTGTCAAAACAGGGTTCCAAGTGCAATGCTCTTTCTTTGCTTAAAAATTGGACATTTTAGATCTTCATTAAACTCGCCTTGCAGAAGCTTTGGATATTCGGCGATTTTGGCGTACATCTAAATGAACAGAAAGTAGCTTCTAAGGAGGAGCGGCCGGAACAGCCTTTTATAGCCAAAATTAATCCGCTTTTCATGCCGTAGTCAATTCTGTTAAACACTGGCGACTTCTAAATGAACCTCTAATTCTCATGACCGTTTGTTCTCAAGTTGGATGTACATGTAGTGTCCAAGTCTTCAGGTGCTTACCATCTGGTATGAAGACAAAGTCTCCGTCGTATTCTAGTAGTCAACTAGAATATCATCATTTTTTGCAATCTAAAAATATGAATTCGGTGTGATGAAAACATTGAATCATGACGGGTCTCGCGATCCACTCAATCAAGAAGTAGCTTGTTCGTGCGCGAGTGTTTGGTAGTGGTGGTCAAGTGAAAGAAGGCCCATGCAGACAAATTGTTTTTTTCGACGCTAGTCAGAAATTTTCTTCACTTTCCCCACCGAAGAACAAGCTGAACCAAATATGAACCAAATCGAAAGCATCACAACAACAAATATAACAAAGCCTGCCCGGCTAGCTCAATCGGTAGAGCGTGTGACTCTTACGATTCAATATCTATGAGTTCTTCTGAAATCACAAGGTTGGGGGTTCGACCCCCCCGTTGGGCTCAATTCCCTTCAATAACATTTTGCCATCTTGATCTTTCTTCTTTTCTTTTTGGTATTTGTCGGGTAAGAAAGCTTGCGCTTACTTTTCTGTCTGTGTCTCCTCCTTCTTATCCGTCAGGATTAGGTATGTTTGGGGGACTCGGGTCTGCTTTCAAATTTTGCACCTTTTATATGATCATTTTCCGTCCCTGCTTGGTCAATCATGAAATGGACATTACTTTGCGGAGCAGATATCGACCAAAGTGGGTTTGAAGAATTACGGGGAAGGAAGAGGAGGTTTATCTTTTTCTGCCTTGGAACAATCTATTTATTACGATTATTCTCCATCTTCTCGAGCTGCAACAACTCTGCCCCACTATCTGATGAAACCCCCACAAGGTCTCACATATAAATCTTATAATCGCGAGAACTATCAACAATCAATAAACATCTTTGATGGTCTAACGGTCATGATTTCCGCTTGTCAATAACATTGCAAGTCGCGGGAGACCGGGGTTCGACTCCCCGTCAGAGAGTTCATTCTAAACAGAATTCCTTGAATCTCATGTTCAAATTTCTTTTTCTTTTTGTTCGTGGAATTTCCTATCTTTTTCTAAAGCGGAATTTTAAAACAAGTGACATAATATCTTTGCATAGCGTGTGCTTTTTGTTATGATGGTGCTACGTGCACTGTTAACATCCGGGATCGAATGTCCTGGATTTATTTTTCTTCTGTCTGAGTTTTTGCTAGCAACGCTAGGACACTGGAGGCTCATCCATAAGCTTGAGACGTAGCCCACAACCAAATTATTCTATGAGGGTATCATAGCGTTCACGTGTAGTACTTATCCTCTCAGAAGCCATCCATTCACATACAACAAGCAATCCGGCATGGTGTAGTGGCTAGCATTTCCGCCTCTCATTGGAAGCTTCATCGCTTCAGTTAGGTCGCGGGAGACCGGGGTTCAATTCCCCGTACCGGAACTTTCTTTTTGCCATTGTGAGCAGCTTGTTTTTGGAAGACTTTTGTTAATTCCTGAACGAACTGCTTGTTGACCAAAAATAAAGTGTTCGAATTATTAGCCTTTTGAAATCTATGTTATTTGTCTTTTGAAAGAAGTCTTTTCCCCAACCTTCCCAACATGTCAATTTCTTATCTTGACGAGTTTTCTAACGCCGAAACGTATTTGCGCAAGTGGGGTCTTAGCGTAATCCACATGCAAAAAGGAAGTTTTGATTCAGGGCCTAATCCGGGATTGAACCGGAGACCTCTTACAATTTAGATTGGACAACCCAAAGCAAGAATTCTACCACTGAACTATCAGGCCTGTTGTTATGATGGACCGACGATAGACATTTATATATTCAAGAGAACAACTTGGAGCGCCCTGTTAGGGATGGGATTTACCCTAAGGCCCTGCAGCAACATGTTCAAATGCTTAAGAACACTTCAGCACACAGTATGCTTGAAACATATTGATCTAGCATTCCGCTGGCAGTTGATAAGCAGCTAATAACTACACTTTGCCAGCTGAGCAATCTCTGGATTTGAATTTAACCCAGTCTCTTGTATGATGAAATTCAATCTTCTGATTATACTACCACTCATGTCTTCACCGTCTGCTGTTACTCTTTACACTTGCTTCGAAATCTGTCAGAGGTGTAGGGAAAAGGTGAAAGATATGAGGCTAGAATTTAGGAATGAAATTTATTATGTGTGCTAGTCTGGTGTTTGAAAAAGGTTCCGACCATTGTAATCGGTCTGGATACCTGTCTCCACACACGATTGTGACTATATTGAGTTGTTTACAAAGGTTGGTTTGAAGACAAAGGTGAGATCTCTGGTTCATTGAAATTCGTGTGGTGAGTCGTTCTGCTATTCGAAGGGGCTTGATTTATTCTTCATATATTTACATGAATGCCACGCACACATGAAAACGGGTGTTGTGGTTTAGTGGTATAATTCTTGCTTAGGGATCTATCAGTCTCCATCGATTGGTTCTCCATGTAAGAGGTCCCCGGTTCAATCCCGGGCAACGCCCATAATCTATTATTTTGTGAGTTTTTTTGCACTTTTTGGAGGAGAGCGCAGTGAATGGGGAAGAAGACTACTAAATGAAGCGAGGTGAGTGAGGCAGGGGTGCCTAGCTGCGAATGAAATGGATTATGACTGTTCTGACTGAATGTTAACCTCGACTTGTGAGATGTATGGAAGGAAAACTACCTACCGTTGCTTATTTTAAAACAGTGCAACGTAGGTAGTAGTATTTTGTTTAATTAATACCCAGGCTGCTCGTATAGT